GGGGGGGGGGGGGGGGGGGGGGGCTCTTTAAGTGGCCTCTGTCCAGCTCCCTCCAAGAAATGAGGAGAGGGGAAAGGATCTGCTTGGGTGGGGCAAGGGTGGGAGGGGAGTAGAATGCCCCCACTGCCCAAGCTTCTGGACCCTTCCTCAAAGCCCTGTGGTCTGAACATTTAAGGTTAGTGCTGCATTTCATGGAGGTCTCAGTTGTGTGTACCCAAGACAAGGCACCCAAAGCCCTTCTCAGTTCACTCTGTTGGCCCAGCCACCCAACTCACCGTGTGCCCCAGTTAGAGCCTCACGTCCTCTGCCTGGGCCATGTCCGGCAGTATCTGGACTGCCTTATGCCCACCTGACTGGACCCACTCAGTGTCAAGAGCCTTCTCATCTGTCAAGAGCCAACACGTCTCACCCCTATGACATGGATACCACCCACCATGAGCTTCCCCAGCCCAGTGCCATCTCACCCTACGCTTAAAGCTTTGTGTATGGGGTGGTCTATGTCTACACAAGTGTGACACCCTCCCAGGTTTGGCAGCACGCTAGGGGCAGGATTCTGTGTCACTGCCACTCTGGTGTCTCCACTGGAGTCTCAGAGCTTGGCATAAAGTGCTTGCTGAATAGTGAATGAATGAATGAATGAATGAGTCTATGACTAGAAGGAAGAAGCAAAGAGGGTGCAGTGGCAGGGGAGGATGAATAAGTGAGGAAGGGGGACTAGGAGAAGAGGGGGTGCCCGGGGCCCCCTCTACTTACCCAGCCGGGCCCGGAAGCTGCGAACCGTGTTGCCCCCTCCTGGCCTCGCGCCCCTCCGACTGTATTTCTCATAAAGCCGGAGCATGTGGACAGCGACCATGTCTTGGGCGCCGGGGCCCAGAGTGGTGGCCGCGTCCCCCAGGGACCGCCAGGGGTCCTTGATCCCAGCCAGACCATCAGAGGCTGCAGGCAAGGCGGACCAGGCAGGGGCCGGGTGGCTGCCGCCCGCGTCCCGGAGCAGCAGCAGAAGCAGAGGCAGCAGCGGCAACAGTTGGGGCCGCCTTCCCGGGCTCGTCCCAGCAGGGCCACGGGCCATGGTGGGTGGCGGCGGCGAAGGAGGGTCGAAGCCTGGGAGGAGGAGAGAACTCGCGGGCGCACCGGCGACTGCGGACCGACCCTGCGGCGGCGGGAGGGCGCGCGGAGCGCTGGATGCTGAGATCCGCGCGGGGCGCGGGGTAGAGCGGGACCCGAGGCGAGCGCGCAGGTCCGTCCTCGCCGCCCGAGCCGCGGGCCAGCGGTCACGGCCGTCCGGAGCCCCGCGGAGCCGAGCCAAACCTGAGCCGACGCGACGCCCCAGCGGACTCGCGCGGCGAAACTTTGCAGCCCACTGGGCGCCCTGCTCCGCGGGTTCGGGGGGCGGGGCGGGGCGGGGCGGTCGGTGGCGCCCTCGGGGGGACCGGTTGTGCGCCCGGGACCACGCGGGGCCGCCGCCGACACGGCTGTCCCTGGCCAGGCTGCGGTGTGCGTGCGCCCGTGTGTGGCGGCGTGCGCGCGCAGGGGTGTGCGCCCGAGTGTGCGCCCGGGAGTGTGGGGGGCGTGGGCGTGGGCGAGCTCGCTCCCCGCTCCCCTGCAGAGAGACTGAGACCCAGACCCGGCCGGCTCCTGTGTGTCGGCGCCACAGCCTGGCCAGGGTTGCGCGGGGGGCTGGGCGGCCTTGGGAGAGGGGCCCGCCTGCCGGGTTGCCCCTGTAATGGCATGTGATGACTATGTAGTTGCAAGATGACAGCTCCCCCGTGAGGACCCGAAAGGGGATGTGTGTGTGTGTGTGTGTGTGTGTGTGTGTATGCCAGGTTGCCTCTGAGCCGGTGTGTATCCAAAATGCAAGAGTGAGGCGAACACACACCCTCCCCGGGGCAGCCTCTGAAAAGAGAAATCCTAACTCCAAAGCTTAACCAACCCAGGGCAACTGGAACCAGATCCTCATTAAAATTCAGAATTAGTCCATTAACTGACCCGTGTTTGGCAACAACGATTCCAGTTGTTGAAGGAGTACATCAAAGGTCTTTATTAATCTTTGGACAAGTAGCCATCAGGATTGTCTTGCAGAAGGATGTGGTTTCAAATTGCTTTACAAAACGTTTCCAAGGCGTCAGGACAGGAGGAGAGAAAGCAGATTTTCCAAGGTTTCACAATAAAGTGACAGGATAGTGAGTCCCTGGCCCACTGCCCCTCAGCTTAGCCCTGGGTCAGAAGGTCCTGAACTTCATCCTGCCTTTAGTGTGGTTTCTTGTCCATGGAGAGAATTTCTGGGGGTCTGTGAACTTGGATGGGGAAAATTTACATTTTTATTTTCAATAACCTGTAACTGAAACTTAGCATTTTCTAATATTAGAAATGTAGGCAACCAATCACAGTGGCATTAAACATACCTGAGACTTCCATTAATTAATAAAAAGGCAGTTAGATTACTATGTTGGAAAGTTGTTTTTAAAAATATTTGGAGTGCTCACTTCGGCAGCACGTATACTAAAAATATTTGGATAACTATATTTTAATGGAATTGGCTTCCTTGTATATTGTATATTAAAAAAAAAAAACTCTTTTGAAAAAGTGTCCACAGGTTTCATCAGACTGAGAAAATTGTCCAAGGCCCACACAAAAAGTTTACAAATCTCTGTGAAGGAAGGAAAGGACCTCTTCAAACCCATGTTCTTCCAGCACTATCTAGGATACTGCCTATGCTACATTTCAAAGGACTGCTTGCAAACTTGTGAACACCCTGTTCCCTTTACTTGGTAACTTTGGGCTCCGTGGGCCAGAATCGTTACTTTTCTTGGAGGGCTCACAATGCAATAATTGAAAAATTGCTGGAAAAAGCTTCTGTTAGTGTGTAAAACACAACCTATTTGTAATTCTTTTAAATCTTGCAGTGTCTGATTAGAGGCCATCCTATTGAAAGCCTCTGACCCTCAGGCCTGTAGCTTTTGGAAGACTATAGAGAAGCATTTTATTTATTTGGATAATTATCTCACATCACATTCAACTTCCCGTTAATGTAGCTCCCGTTTGTTCTGTGAAACAGCTTTCAAAACGGCTCGCCTGGAGGTAAGATGATCAAGTCACAGCCTTAGACTTGATGGATCTGCCCTTATAAACGATCCACACAGACTTTTACAGCTCCTTTTCCCCCACCCCCACCCCTGCTTTCCTCCTTCTCCATGTGTCCCTCACTTCCCCTCTCCCCTCCTCTCCCCTTCTCCCCCAGAATGCCTCTGACCTGTACCGGCTGGGGGTAACCTCTGCTCATGGGTAGTTTTGTCTCTGCTGGAGCCATACACAATCGAGGCCTGTGAAAAGGAGGGTTAGTCCGCAGGAGGCCGGGACAAGCTGGGCTATTCGGGATCTGTGTCCATTAAAGCCTTCTTGCTCTCCTTAACTCATTCCCCCTCCATTCAAACCAGCCTGAGGGTCAGGCTTTAGCCAGCACTAAAACCTGTAGGGTACAGATTCTCTGAATTGTTGGGAAAGAATTAAGGCATCAGCCAGGGACGGCTAATATTTCTTGCCTCATTTTATTGCTGAACAGCGGGACTTTAAGTCTTGAACACTGGAGCACTATGGCCCCCTTTCATGTAGCCGAGATGATGGGATAAAAATGTGTTTGGTGAAGCAATTCAGATTACCACCGGGTCACATCCTCGCTGGCTCCCAGCACGGCCTGCAAACAGCATCGCTAAGACAAGAAACAATTGCTGTGCAATTTCAGCTCATGCAGAACAGTGTTTCTAGCGTGGAAATGAGGCTAATTGTGGAGCTTGCCAACGAGAAGGTTTTGTTTTTAATAGCTCAGGCTGTAGCTCAGAATAAGAGTTGAGATGGCGGACTCTGGATTCCAGTCCTGAGAGCTGTGATTTCTGACAGCTTCCTCCTAAAAGGATCGGGGTCCTGGGGGCGTCATACACTGTTCTTATCGGGAGCCCCGAGGTCTTGGATTTGACGACTGGGATGGGGAGGAGGGCTCTCTTCAGAGAGGTGAGAAATTGTTAGGGGGCCCTCAGTCTTCCAGGTCTGTCTGCCACACTCTGGTTCCCTGAAGCTCAGAAAACCCCAGGGAAGAAGCGAAGAAGCTCAAATAGTTAAGAAGCTCGGTGTGTGAGTAAAGGAGAAACCAAAGCGGACAGTTCTGAGAGGGAGGCTCATTTGGTTTCTTCCAGAACCTCTACCCAAATAAACACCGCGTGAAAGTTCCTGAGCAACCGTTTCATGATCTTGTCCAGTGAGCTGGTGGGAGGGTCAGTTTTCGGCTCTCACTAGCTGGGTCCCCAGCCCCATCGCCTCTTTGGAACCCCAGCAGCCTCCCATTTACAAGAGAAGCCTAACCCCTGGGCTCTGTTTCAGTTCCAACACTGGATGCCTGAGGCTGTGGCCTCAGGTCAACCCATCCTTGGAAGTGAGAGAGACATTGTGACCTTTGGAGTCAATTGGGACTAGATTTGTGTGCCTGTTTCCCCCACTACCCAGCTGTATGGCCTTCAGCAAGCTGTTTGAGCTTTCTGGGGCCTCAGTTTCTTTAGCTCTAAAATGGGGACAGGAGCAAGGTATTCTGAGGATTATTAGCAGGGTTTTAGCATGAGAGAGTCCTAAATAGCATGGATCCCTGTTACAACTCTTTCTTTGTGTGTTCAGAAGAGATTGTAGCCTATTTAAAGTGGACGCAGACTTGGAGAAATTTGGTGAGAGGTTCTGCCTAGCCTCGCTCTGCAGAGGAAATGCATTTCTTAGTGCACAGCGCCAAGAGCTAAAAAGAAAGGGAAAGGAAGGAGAATGTTTCTGTGATTAGGAAGTCATAGACCTCTACCGGCGGTATCTGTGGGTCCCTGTCCGGAGATTGGTGGGGGCGGGGGTGGGTGTGTGACTGACAGCCCTTCATCTAGACTTCCAAAGCTCTGGGCCCTCATGGACAAAAGAGATGTGAGTGAGTTCCTTTTCTCTTTTAGGGTATGAGCTGTGAAAAAGCAGCCAACGGGTTTGCAGGGGCGCTGGAGACAAGAATCCCAGGGCCTCCCCAGGCCGCCGGGTCCGAGTGTAGTAAATCTGTGAAGTAACAGGCACAAAGGACTTTATAATCAATGACAGATTTTATTTTTGCTCCGGCAAAACCCATCCGTGGAGTTAACATTTTATAGGGAAATAGCTACCCACTTTGTGACTCCTCCTCAGCCCATATTCTCTTTCTGAAAGTCGGGAAAAGCTCGGAGAATCAAAGTCAGCTCCTCTGAGAACTGTGGCAGGAGAAAGCATGACTTCCCCTGGGCGGGAACCCAACCCTCCCGTTACTTCCTAGGGTGGCTCGGGCCATTCATTTCTGTTTTGCTAAAATACCCGTGACATGTGAATAAACCAGGATTATAGAACATTGTCTCGGTCAGTAATCTGAGCCGGCACGGGCTCTGGTTTGATGAAATATGGTGCTCTCTGAGCAAACATGGGAATTGGTATTACTTCTCGTTAAAGTTGAACAGTGGGACTATTTAGAACTGACGCATGAATGCGGCACTGTGGGGAGTGACAATCTGAAGGGGCCGATTTGGGGGAGGGGGCAGCGGTGTGTGTGAGTTGGCCAGAGCAAGGCAGTTAGGAGACTTCTGCGGGGGAGGCAGCCAAAGAGACACTTGGGAGTTAGGACCCCCTTTGGGGCTGCATGGGCTCCTTACAACCCCAAAACAATCCTTCTTGGAACCTTTGCAGGAAGGACAAAGCCTTACATCCTTGTCCTGGCATTTGAGCCCTTAATGTCTGGCCTGACTGTCCCCCGACTGTCTCAGTGAGCCTCTCTCCAGTCCTGCCAGTTCTCTCGAGCCCTGGGTTTGGAAGGACCCACATTCTCTCAGTACGATGCCAGCCTCCTCCGGCCATGCTTTTTCTAGAGTCACACTGTGCTATGCCACCCAGCACCTCTTTCAGAACCCAGGTGCACATCCCCCCAGCTGCCAGGAGAGCAGTCTCCTGATGGCTCACACCTGAGAACCTCCCCAGGCATTGCATCACCCAAAGCCGTCCGCTTCCCTAGGACAGCCCAGATGCAGCCACTAGGCT